CAAACACCACTGCTTAGGAAGGTTTTGTTCCTGGTAGCTATTAGCTCTAGATGTATTAGTTACTTCTCATACCTTTGTAAAAACAGCAATATTTATTTTGTTTTCAGGTATAAAAGAAAACTTCTCATAAATGACTTTGGAAGAGAGAGAAAATCTTCATCGGGAAGGTATGTGTCATATTTTTTTTTTTTTTTGAGACAGGGTCCCACTATGCAGTTAAGGCTGGCCTTCAACTCATTTTGTAGCTCAGCCTGGCCTCAAACTCATGATGATCCTTCTACCTCAGCCTCCCGAGTTCTGGGATTATAGGTGTGTGCCACCACACTCAGCTAAATATTTCTTTATAATTTATTAATGAAAAAAATTGTGATTGAAAAATGCTGATTATCCTGATAGCATTTACTGATTTATCTGTTCTTCACTGATTTGAACTAATTACACTTGTTGTATACTAGAACCCTATATGTACAAAGATCCTGGACTGTCCTGGGATTAATATGGTTGGGGATCCAGAGGTTGAATATTTGAGGATTTTCTTGGCACAGATTACATGGTGATCGTAATTTTGAGGTTCTGTTAACTTTTCATTTTTTTCAGTTCTGATTCAAAGGAGTCTACGTGTGCAGTACCTGCTGATGTGGAGACAGATGAAAGTGTCCTCATGAGAAGACAGAAGCAGATCAACTATGGGAAGAACACCATTGCCTATGATCGCTATATTAAAGAAGTCCCCAGGTAGTCCTGTCTCATTGGCATGGCCTGAGTCACCCCAACATTGTAGTTCAGAGTTGCTTACATTAGACTAGGGATGGCGAACCTTTTAGTGCTTTCAGTGATACAAACAGCCCACTGTGGCACACATGCCATAGGTTTGCCATCACTGAGTTAGACCCACATACTGTGAGACCTTAGGAACTTAAGTGGAAAATCAATAGATTGGCATTGGAAAACTCTGGGACATGAGGATTAAAGATAATTTTTCGAGCCTGGTGTGGTGGTAGTGCATGTCTGTGTTTCCAGGACTTGGGAATCTGAGGCAGGAGGATTGCCATGGGTTCAAGGCCAGCCTGAACTGTGTAGTGAGAGCCTGTCTCAAAAACAACAACAAATTATTTTAGGCAGTATTTCATTGTTAGGACTCACATCCACGTTGGAAAAAAATGGAATTCAAGTTGATTATAAAAATTATTTAAGAAAAAAATTGGCATCTCTCTGTTTCCTCTAAGCAGCATGTTGCCTCTTTCTCTTTTTTTGGGGGGGGGTACCGGGGATTGAACTCAGGATCTTGCGCTTGTGAGGCAGGCGGTGGCACCACTGAGCTAAATCCCTGGCCTGGCTCTTTCTCTCTTGAACACAGACACAAAAGGATACCAAAAAGGCTTCTTGAATTTTTCTGAACCTCTTGGCAAGTCTGAGATTACAGTTTATTTTTCTGGAGTACAGATTGTAAGGAATAACAAGATTCAAAGAAAAAGTGTCCCTTTTTTTGTTGAGTTTTTCTTTTGAGATAAGGTCTTGCTTTATGGCCAGGTTAGCCTTGAACTTGATGTAGTCTTCCTGCCTCTGCCTCCCCAATGGTGGGACTATGGGTGTGCACCAGCAGTTGTGCTTTTGTTACATGTTACTTTGGTTATTTGTAGAATCTCTGTTGATCTCTAATTTGTTAAATGAAATCTCAAGGCTTGGTTAATCTTACAGTAACTGCAGATGTGAGTGGCCTGTGCCAGGGTAATCTTGCTGTCTTCCTGCAGACACCTTCGACAACCTGGCATCCATCCCAAGACCCCCAACAAATTTAAGAAGTACAGTCGGCGGTCCTGGGACCAGCAGATCAAGCTCTGGAAGGTGGCTCTGCATTTTTGGGACCCTCCAGCTGAAGAAGGATGTGATTTGCAAGAACTGTAGGTCTTTTTTGCATTCTCGTTTCTCAGTTTCTCTACTTGGCACAGGGGCTGAGACAGTTGCATGGTGATCTAGAAGTCTAGGACTACATGGAGGCTTTGTTTTATTTGGTCTGTGAGTGTGTGTGGTACTGGGGATTGAACATAGGACCTCACGGTTGCTGGGCTAGTGCTCTGCTTACCACTGACCTGTGCCACCACTCTTTAAATCTAAGTTGCCAACTCCTGACCCTTGATCCTCTTCCCTCTGCTGTGCAGCACCACAGGGGGGGTCTTGCCTTAATT